CCGTGGTCGGTTCCATCTGTCCTACCAGAACTCTCCTGGTTCCTGTCAGAGACTGACTTTGCCCAGCGATGCCACAGGGCTCTGTTCTTGGTGCACTCCTTTTCTGTATTATTATTATTATTATTATTATTATTATTATTATTATTATTATTATTATTATTATTATTATTATTATTATTATTATTATTATTATTATTATTATTATTATTATTATTATTATTATTTAGCTTTAGGGATATAGCTGTGTATCTGTTTACAGTAAGGAAGTATTTTCCTGCAGTGATGGAAAAGTGAAAGCAGCAGCAACAGCAGCAACAGCAGCAACAGCAGCACCAGCAGCAGCAGCAGCAGCAGCAGCAGGTTGCACTAATCAGATCTCCTGCTGGAAGATGAGCCGTATCGATCAGTCCTGTTGGATCCATCACAGTACAGAGTACAACAGTGACTGTCATGTACCATAAATGAGCCTTTTGTACCAGACTGGACTAGTATTTAAGCCGACGCTGCAGTTTCATTTCCATTTCTCTGGACACAGACTTGGTGCCAGGCAAACGTGGCAGCAGATAATGAACTCCTACAGTTCAGTGTGAACGACAGAACGAGTGTCCTGCCACTCAAGTCAACTAGAAGAAACCTACCTTTTTTGGATTGATATGGCCCAATGTTCATTTATTTACATGTAAACTGGTGAGATTACAGCCAGGTGGCAGCACTGACTGGATATTTCTGAATATTTGAGATTGAACTATAACAATGTCCTGACTGAATGTGTTTGATAGTGACCTGAGTGACCTGAGGCCACAGCTGGAGTCGGAGAAGAACAGCAGCTATTCACTGTGTTAGAGGAAGTTCTCTGGGTGAACACGCAGAAGACTGGAAGACAGAAGTCAACGGAGGAGGAGACGGCCAATCAGAGAAGGTTAGACCTACCCTAAACCAACCCCTGAGGTGCTCTTTATGTGTCCGTGAAGCCTTTTGACAACATATAAAACGACGAGCACTCGGGGAAACCTGACGTGGAGAGACATGGACCAGATACGGCCCACTGGGCTTTCTGATGCGGCCCTCCAAATACTGGTACAATGTCAGCTAACGACAGATGTCCATCCTTCTGTTTCATACTGTTGGTTGTGTGTCAGTTTGGGGAGAGAGTGGACACGATATTAAACTGTGAAATCCC